TAACGGTGTCGGTTGCTCAATGTTTGGCTGCTCCACATCTCTATCACATTGCTGATCTCTACGGTGTGTACGTTGGAAGACACGAAAGGGAGCAAAGTCCGAAATAGAAGGAAGAGATACTTGGTGAACCTGTACCTGGCGGACCTGAACCTGCTTCTCCTCTTCCACACTACTACTTTCCCCCTGAGGAGAAGCAGGGAAGAATGGCTCAGATTCAAAGAAGGATACATCCATAGACACAAAAAACTTATGACTAACGGGATCAAAGCACTGATACCCTTTTTGAGAGGAGGGATACCCCAGAAAGATACAAGGAATGGACCGAGGGTCTAACTTACCTCGAGATGGAGACAAATCATGGACAAAGGCACGACAACCAAAGACTCTCATGGGAATGGAAAATAAAGGGGACTGAGGGTACAATAACTGATGAGGGGCCATGTAGTTCAACACTTTGGAGGGCATGCGATTGATGACATAAGCAGCTGCAAGTATAGCATCCACCCAAAACCTTTTTAGAACATTCATGTGTAACATCATCCCGTGAGCTACCTCAAGGAGGTGTATGTTTTTTCTTTCTGCAACACCATTTTGTTGTGGTGTTCTGGCGCATGAGCTCCTATGAATAGATCCGTGGGAGAAAGAACTCATTGAGCTCACCATGGAAGTATTCTTTTGCATTGTCGGATTGGAAGATCTGTATTTCAACATGGAACTGCGTAAATACCATCCTCTGGAAGTCTTTCACAATCTTTGGAACTTCGTCTCTACTATGCATTGGAAATACCCATGTATAGCGGGAGTAATCATCGATCAATGTGATAAAGTATTTATATCCGCCCTCAGAGATTACATTAGTAGGCCCCCATACATCAGAATACACAACATAAAAAGGAACACTTGATCTTTTATTACTTGAGTGAAAAGTTGTTCTACATTGTTTGCTCAACTGACACGTTTGACACTGGAACTCTAACACTGAACATGACTTAAATAAAATCGGAAACAAAGACTTTACTATTTCAAAAGAAACATGACCTAAATGACTATGCCACAAAAAAATTTGACTCTTATTTGACTAACTATGTGACTCTGAGGATGACACCGAGAGACCAACTTTGTTGTCGAGAATGTAGAGACCATCCACTAGGCTCCCTCTACCAAATGTCCTCCCAGAAGTTAGGTCTTAAAAAACACGAGCCAGGAAAAAATGTTACACTACAGTTTAAAGAGCTTGTAATACTACTAATTGAAAGCAAATTTATAGGAAGTTGAGGGACATGCAATACACAATTCAGGTTAAGGCCATGGGGAAGAGATATTGATCCTTGGCTTGGAATGGAGAAAAAGGAGCCATCTGCAAGTCTCACTCTATCCCTTACTAACAAAAGGCTATAAGTCTAAAACAAGTTCGGCTTACCGGTCATGTGGTTGGAGGCCCCTGAGTCAATGATCCAAGGAGAACCCGTGGGAGTGACATGGAATGCAAAAGCTGTATTACCTGATGTAGATGCAAATGAAGTAGAGGGAGTACTAGTGACTGAGCTATCCATTTGTCGCAAAGCCCTACCATAAGACTCCAGGTGTTCTCTGAAGGAACTCACTATATCTTCCTTGGGGTCAGAATTATTAAGGTGGTCCCGGGTAGTACCGGCAACTTGAGTATCTTGGGTTGCCACATGTGCTGCATTCTGTGCTGTGTTCATCTTCTTCTGACCTTGACCTTTACCCTGTTCTTGGTTCTTCACTGCCCACTTGGGTTTCCCGTAGATGTCCCAACATGTGTCACGTGTATGCCGTGAATGCCGACAGTGGGTACAAAACAACTTGTCTTTATCATCAGTCTTCTTAGTGTCACTTTTCTTCCCCGTGGAGTTATTATTCATCATAGCCAAAGCAACTTGTTGCTCCCCCTCAGCTGTAGCCATCACACTCCGCCTACTTTCTTCCGATTGAACAAGGGAGTATACCTCGTGAACCGATGACAACTCTTTGCTTCCTAGGATCTGAACCCTTAAAGGTTCATAGGCAGGGTTCAGTCCCAACAAGAAGGCAAACACACGTTGCTGAGAGACCAGCTTCCTATAGGCCTTAGCATCATCATCATGTTTCCACTCTATAGCCTGATAATGATCCAATTCTTTCCATATGGAGGTAAGGGCTGAATAATATGAAGACAAACTACAGTTTCCCTGTTTACAGGTTGAAGATTCAGCTTGTAACTGGTAAACCTTGGCATAATGCCTTTGCTCAGAATAGGTAGCTTTGGGCCTGTTCACAGATCTCACTAGCGGTGTCTGCCCACATAAAGTTCTTCTTCACATCAGGTTCCATGGCTGCAAGGAGCCAAGACATCACCATACTGTTTTCTTAGTCCCACCTATCATGTTCATCTGTCTCACCCTTGGGTTCTTTCACCCTTCCATTTATGTAACCAGCTTTTCCCCTTGCCGTTATATAGAGTTTTACACTTTTAGCCCACTCCAGGTAGTTCAGACCATTTAAAGGGGTAATTGGCATGGGAAACATCATGTTTTCACCTCCCATATCAGTTGTGTTGCGGGTCGGTGTAACCCCCGATGAAGTTGATTCATAATTTGCCATAGAATACTGCTGAAAACAATCCAAATCCCACACAACTACGCAACAGCCACAAGAAGAATATCAACCCTCAAGAAATTTACTTCTGGGATGTGAGGAAGAAAACAAGAAACTGCTAAAATCAACTCTGTGATGGTTCAGTCATTAAACTAGCCCGGTAATCAGTCCAACACAGCCAAGGCAGACGTTACTATTAGTCCGACTACAACCCATACAGTCTAACAATCCAACGTCCAAATGAATGTATAGAACCAAGGAATAAGGCCTTCACACCATTGGCCAAAAAAAGACAAAAGCAAGAACACACCTGTCCAGCACCTGTACGAAGGTGCCAACCAGAAATCGACTTCACAGCATCGAACAGAGAAGAAAGGGAGTCTCTATCAGCATCGCCCTTCTTCGACTAGGGTTTCCTTGATATTACGACCAAGGAAGAACCCACAGGAGGTGCCGCTAGTAATCTGCTAGGGTTTCTCTGTCTTCCACGTCCAAGAATTTAAAGAAGGAAAAAAAAGGTGAAGCAAGTTCCAAACAGGAGGGACCGAAATTCTTTTACAGTCCAAAAACTTGCTTTGATACCATGTAATCATTCATGGAGAGTGGGAGACGAGAGAGAGAGAAAGAGAAGGAAAGGGAGATACGATTGAGAGAAAAAGAAAAACCATCTCTGGTTGCCGCCAGTTCACTATTTATATTAACTTAATAAAAAAGAATATAAATTACAAGTATGCCCTTGGCGGCACACCCTAGAAACAAACTAATAAGGAAAAAAGGAAAAATAACTAACTGACAGTATCTTAAGAGGACAACCTACTAACAACAACTATAAAGTAACAATTAAATAAGCCTTACAACACAACCGATAGTAACATTTCAAACTCAACTTTTAAGTTTTAACTGGTTTTTCCATGCATTTGGCTATGCTAGCAATGCTAACTAAAATATAAGACCTAAATCCAAACTAAAGATATCAAGATCCATCCTTCAGTGTTGTAAAGGAACAAACATACTTGTGTGTACAAATGAACATCATCCTCCACTTATTTACTTCATGAAGGGAGAGGAAACCATTACAATGGTAGCTAATGAGACCACAACCCTTTATGTTTCCTTACACTAAGATTCTGTTGATCCCCTCTTCATTTTCCCTTTTCTCCACCTTTCTTTTTTCATTTTATCATCAAAAGAAGCCTAGAACCAAATCCCTACTTGTGGAAAATCATAACATTTACCATCTGTACCAGAATATAAACTCCACAGCTCCACTCTTTCTAGAAAACTACCATAAGGTGAAACAAACAGGATGAATCCCCAATGGTATAGTCACTCTATAACTAAAACACCTTTTGGGGTGAGCTGGCATGCCACTCAATCATAAAGCATGCCAAGGCAGTATAAAGTTACTGAATATACTTCCCAAATATCATATTTTCGAAATGACAAATACATGATTTATACAAGCTATCCATCCCTGATCTCTAATGACTTATTCTATAACATATACTTAAGGCATTGGGCATTTATTGATATAATTTATCTGTTTGTAACATTGTGAGGAGGAATATGACGAAAAACTAGTCAAGAAAAAAGAATTTAACAGAAACAAAACAATAACTTCAAATGTAAGAATCGAATAATGGAGTATGAAATGTAAATAAAGACCAGATATTGGTGGATCAAGTAATTGAGACCTTGAAATATCGGAAAAAAGGGGTTGTGACAATCTCTTGTAACAAGGGATGTAAAACGTCCTTATTAACACTATCTACATTCTCATAGTCGCAGCAACAATCCTCCACAATGCCAGTGTACTTCCGCGAATCCTGCATAAATTTCATGGGGAAAAAACGTCAAAATTCTAGAAAAAAAATCAGAGGAACATCCAATCCATAAATCACACGTAAATCCAAATACATCAATAGATAGTTTAAAAAAAATACTATATCAATCTCAGTGTCACAATATGCTGACTTCGGCATCACCCTTGTTCTGACACATCAAAAATTACGGGAAATTTAAAAAAAGAAAAAAAACACAATACTAAATTGATGATACGAGTTTCACATATTGAAATCAACAAAGCATACACCACCCGATGGAAACAAAGAGAAAGAAAGAAAGCATCTTATCGAAAAACATCAATAATTTTCATAGAAGTTTTCCACTATGAATGCGAAGGAAAATAATAAATAAGTTGAAAAGAACCAAATCTTATATCCAACTCTCCATCACCCATTAATCAATAAAAACCATCACTACCAACTGGTCCAACTCTAAAAATCTTTTAAAATAAAACGGCAGGGAAACCAAAAATAACATGCAAAATTCAAAATTCAATCAACAAAACAAAATGAGGTATAAAAAGCAAATGATTAGAAACAAAGAAAAAACGAAATGGAGGACGTACCGCACACTCGCACTCCTTGTTATTCCGGCCAAACAGTGAGATCTTCGGAGCGCTTCTGGACGTTGCTGCTGTAGCAAGCAAGACGGCTATCACAGCTCCAATGATCCAACCCCATCTCCTTCTTGGACCATTCTCTCCAATCTCCGAGTTAGGCATTACTGAAGAACACCACCAATAAGGCACTAACCTCTACAAAACTCTAAAGTTTTTTTTTTTTTTCAGAAACCTCCGAAACGAATCGCAGCTGAAAAAGAGAAATCTTTACTTTCTCAAGCAATTTCTCAAATAAATAATTAAATAAATAAATGCGAGATTTCCACGTCAACGAGCGGTTTTTGCAAAACTCAGCTGCCATCGCCGTCTGTTTTCTACGTTCTTTTGTTGTAAAGTCAGCAAGCTACCGTCGTCGCCGTTTGTTTTCTATTTCCTCCCCTACTTCTCTGTTTCTGGATTTGCTACTGGTCTACCAGCGTCGCCGTTTGTTTTCTTTCTACCTCTCGCTCTGTGATTGGTCTCGAAGACAAATGCTTGGAAGAAGACTAATCTTGCCACGTCGCAAGGTGGTGGGACGATGGATGTAGGGACGTGAGTTCAATTTGACTGGTGGGACACTTCACCAGGCATTCTGACTTCTGTTATTAGTGTTAGGGCTGCAACGAATTGAAATTTGGAAGGTGATCTGAATTCGACCCGTTTACAACTGGATCGAAAATGGATTGCGCCAATCCAACTCGATCCCAATTTATTTATTAATAATCTATTTATTAATAATAAAATAAATATCTATTTATTTTAGGGATTTTTGCACTGCACTCGACTGTAATACATATTAATAAATGTCTATTTATCAATAATAAAATAGGTTTTTTTTTCTTAATAAAGTTGGTTTACATATTGAGCACTACGTTCATACAGCCATTTACACCAATATCTCCCTACTAGTTGTATGTTTTGCTTGTAGGGAGATATTTAAAGTAATACATAATTAGGTGTATATGAGTTGGTTTGGTCTAATTTCACTTAGGCCTCGTTCGTTTTCCGGATTGTAGTAGTGGGAAAAGTCGGTCAATGGGATTGTGATTCCTATTGATCAATTCTCCAACGTTCTTCTTCAAAATTTAAATGAGACCCACGATAAACTTGATTTTCCCAGGTATCATTTACCCGAGGAAGTGTTACTCCTTTTCCCGCTTGGGAAAGTTAACTTTTCCGAGCGGAGTGAATGCTCAAAATTAATTTATCAAAAATACCCATGCTTAAAGGCTCAAGGTTTCTGCTTTACTTGCAGTTTTGTGGCCGCTTCGATCCTCCCGTTATTGGTGCTGCTATTTCTCTCCTTCAAGCTCATTGTCATTCTTCTAATCAATTGTCGCCGGTGATCTTTCCCATCACTATCGTTGCTCGGCTAGCCACCATTGTTGCTCGGCTAGCCACCATTGTTGCTATCCCACATACGAACGGTAAGAACTTCTTCACACTTTTATATTTTTGCTTGGATTTAACATGATAACAGAAACTGTAAAGAAAATAAGAACTTCTGATTTTTGAAACCCTAGAAATCGAGAACAGAAGTTATGATAGAACCAGAGAAAAGAAGAACAGAAAGAAAAAAAAAAAACGTTTAGAAAACAAGAACAAGAGAAGAATTAATTTAGTAGTAAAACAAGGTAAAACCTTGGGAAAATGAGAAAGACGGAACAGTTAAAATAAGAACCACTAGAAAGCATGAGCGACCCATTATTTTTATCAAACTTCCAACAACTTGGTTGTTCTTGGGTGTCAGAATCTTGGCCGGTAATGGTAAGTCTCAATCAGAAAACCATTTTTGCTTTGAAAACCACCTTGGGTTTAGACATGGGTGTATGGTGTTCATGCTTTAGTTTACATGAATGAACAAAAACTGCTACTCTGCTCGTGAAAGTGGAGTTATATGAAACCGTTGTTTTCTAATTAGGAATCCATGGTTGATAACAACACAACGAAAACAAGACTCCCTTCCACCGAATAAAAAACCAACTAGGCAACTCATTGACAGAGGTTTAAACAATTGTCCTGCTCCTTACCTTCTCTTTTGCCTCATGCCCCCCTACAAATGTCAACTGTTGTTTCCACTCTAATAAAAATTTAGTTTCCACTCTAACTCAAACATCCTCACCTTATTTCTTAAATACAAGAGATTCTTGTTCAATCTCTCTTTTATCTTTCTTCTTAAGATGCCTTGTAAACTCATTTGCTTGATTGTCACATTCCGTAAAAATTTATTATCAGTATTGTTGTTGTTTACTGAAATCAACCACCTTGTTAATAGAATTTAATCTTGCACTTTCATGTTGCTAAATATGCCTGAACTTATCCAATACCGAAATCCATTCACTGGTTGGAGACAAGTGTGCTAGGAGAGAATGGTCATGTCTTTGAAGCAAGAGCGGTATAATTTGAATCCATTATTAAGAGAGTCCGCTTTCTCATTAATTCAGTGGCTTTGATACAAAAAATAAATAAATAAATAAAACAGCCTTTCTCTCATTGTTATTGGTAGAAACCTTGTAGATATCCTACAGTGCCCCTTCCATCACTATTATTTGATTAGTGGCCCAACCCCATAGATTAATGGTCAGACTTCATTATTTTAAACTTGATGGCAGAAAACATGCTAACCCAAGTTTAGATGCAAATAAGAGTACTATTCTCTGATTAACTCAAATAATATTTGTGCTCTCGACAGTCCTATTGGATATTGTACACTAGTAAAACTGAGGTAGCCCTCCTCAAGGGTTAGGAAAACCAAAAGGTTACAACTTCTACTATTGATAGTCCATTGTGACTAGGCTGATACTACAATGTGGGTCAATAATATTGGCATGGGCCCATGGAATTGGAAGATGGCTTGAGTGAGATAAGAAACATCATCCATACTCTTCCATCAACCTTTTATTTAATTGGTAATCTATGGATGGTTACAAAAAGATGGTGTACAAGATGGACATCAAACAAAAAGACATGAAATAGTTTTTTTTCTATTTTTCTTTCTTGATCTAGAAGAACAATTATCAGGCCCTCAAGCTTCTTTCTATTGTATAAACTTACCAATATGGTGCTGATGTGGTGTAATCCGGATGCTCCCTGCTGGAGATGATCTGGCTGCCAGCAACGACGTGAACTGGGTAGTCTGCAAGAGAGGAGTCAGAGATCCCGGGGTGGCTTACCCGACGAGGACACTCCGATGGCAAGTTAGCACACGGTAGCAGTAGAGAGCTTGAAGATGATAATAGTGAATTAGAGAGCTAGAGAGCAAAGATTACGCATAGAAACATACCTTCGCCCTCGGGGGGTGAAGTCTTTATATACTGGAGTCCTGACGGGTTTGGTGGAGTAGGTCCTGAATTTCCGCTGTGTCAGGTCTGTTACCGTGTTAGTTGGGAGTAACATCTCCCGCTGTGAGGTTGGCCATCTCCGTCTGAATCGGGGAGTGGGTGAACTAATGTAGCCGTTACAAAGTACGGTCTCGTGGGATGCAGAGTACGGAGATGTGCTCCTTGAGGTTGCCATGCGGAGGTCGACCAGACTAGGCAGCGGGCTGCTTGTGAAGTGTCGGGCTGCTTGGTGGCAAGCTGCCTATTGGCGGGTTGCTTGAGCTCGCGTTCCACAGACTTGATCTGCCTCGAATGTCGAAGTGCTTTAGTACCGAGGTGTTCTTGCACCGAGGTAGGCTTGTCCCGAGGTGGCTCATTTGTCCAAGCTCGACCTGTAGCAGACTTGGCACTGTCGTCCTGGTCACGAGCTGGTATTGGGACGATCTTGGCCCGAAGTAACTTTAGTTCGGGATACCAGCGTACCCGAGGCCGCTTTGTAGCGAGTTGATTTATGCTGAGCTGTCACTCGCGTTGAGTCATGTCACGTGCCGATCTGATCATGTCGAGTTGTTACTTATGCCGAGTCATGCCCATGTGTCTCTTGATTATGAGGTCGGGCCAAATTCCCCTTCATCAATTGCCCCCCACTCCCCGAGCTAGGGGTCGTGACCTGGTACGGGGAGTTCACGATATGATAAGTGGATTTGGCTCGAAGCCCAGTCCGCCCTGTCAGATAGGTTGCGTGCAGTTTTATGCACGGACGTCACACGATCTATGAATTCCGTGGACGCCAAAAAACGCGCTAAACTGTTTCCGATCTCGAGGGTCGTGTAGCCGGTTTTCTTAGGAGCCATCGGATTGCTTTGATCTTGACCGTTGCTTCTTTGGTACAATGGCTATAAATAGGGGGGCCCGTGACTTGTTCTTCTCGTTGTATGCTCTGAGATTGAGCTCTCCCGAGGTCGCGCCAAATTCTTAGCTCGATCTTCCTTTTGTTTCCAGAGTCGTCTTTTCCTTTGGTGAGTCTTCGTTCTTTAGTCTTTTTTCTGTTCTGTAATTATGTCTAGCTCTAGTGTAGAGAGACTGTTAGATAGTTCTAGCGAGGTGGAGGGTGCCACTATCCCTGCTAAGGAGGTCAGCTCTCGGCAGGGTGCCTCCCCTCTTCGGTCTTTAGAGGGAGCCTCTAACCCTGAAGTCGAGCCATCTTGGCTCGGGGAGACCGAAGCTCAGGAAGAGGGTCCGTCCTCCTGATCGGAGGCCCCATCTTCTTCCCAAGGTCGGGATCCTGATGACTTCAGTCCTTCCAAACTGTCTTCGGACAGATTGCTGTACTTAGTGTCCCGTTACCGCCTTCCTGACAACTTAGTTTTTAGTCTTCCTTTAGGTTAATTCCCTTGGGCTCATGATCACCATGAGCTCGCCATCTTCGAGGAGCAGCTCGCGGCAGGGCTGTGCTTCCCTCTTCACCCCTTTCTGATAGAAGTAGTTAAGTTTTACAACATTACTATCGACCAGCTTCATCCGAACTCCATTCGGAACATAGTTGGTACTATATCTTTGTTCCATGCTTATAACCATCCTTTAACCCTTGATATCTTTAGCTCGATCTGCGCGATCAAGCGAAACTCGGCCTGTCTGCGCGGGGACTAAGACAGAGCTACTACATCTCTCCCAGGCTCGGATTCAAAATCCTGTTCGGCTGCCTGAACAAGGTTCCGACCTGGAAAAGGCGGTATCTTATTGTTCGTAACCCGAAGGGGTGGTCTTTCCCAACCCACTGGAGGGTAGCTACCAAGGACCTTGGGGTGAGTTTGGATGCAAAGACCAGGGTAGTAATTAATTCTCTTAGAGGGACCTCAACCTCGAGATGAAAAGCTTCTTGGTCGAGGAGGCGCTGGTACGAGCTGGTTTGAGCCCTCCCGGTAGGCTTCTTTTCAGGTATTTATTTGAAAGAGTACTCTAAGTTCTTCGACTGACCTTTTTTATTTGTGCAGTTACGATGTCGGTCAATGCAGAAAGTCTCTTGAGGAGTTCCCAGAAGGGGAAGAAGCGGAGGGCTGCAAAGAGACCTCGTCAGGAGGTCGGGATTTCAACTGAGGTGCCTTCAACCGAGGTCTTGGCCGCGGAGCCGATCTCCATTCAGCCCCCCAGGGAGGATGCAACTCCCGAAGTGGTAGTGGGCGAGGACTACAAGGGGGAGCTCGTTCCCAAGAGTCGGGAGACTCGTCTGCGCTTGAGGAGGCAGACACCGATTCGGAGAGCGCTCCCGCAAGCGCGCAAGAAAGTACACTAGACCACATACTTGCGGTGCGTAAGAGTCGGGATGTCGTCTTCCACGACGAGATCGTGAAATGGGCGGACATGCCTACACGTCGGCTTTTGGGGCTAGCCCAACTCTGCTATTCACGCACTAGCCTATCAATCTGCGATCCGTTCGAAGGAAGCTCGGGATGCCAAGGTGGAGGTGCGGAAGCTTCACCGCGAGCTGGACCTGGCTCGGGGTGAAGTACTTCAAGCCAAAAGAGGAGCTGAGGGCCAGAGGCAGCTGATCCTGACCCAGGAAGGGCAGATCTCTGTGCTAACTGAGGAGAAGGCGTGGCTTCAGCGAGAGGTTGCGAACCTCGAGGCCATGGTCAAAGAACGCACCGAAATCTTTGAGACCGCCATCGCAAAAGAAAGAAAAAAGGCCATCGAGAGTTTCAAAGAGTCCCCGGAGTTTGAGGCCCTGCAGGTTGAATATAGCTCGAGCTCCTACCGCTCCGGGTTCAAGTTGTGCAGGTACCTGGTCTGACAAAAATTCCCCGATCTCGACTTTGGTGGCATCACGATGTCAGGTTTAGCCTCTGGAGTGGCTAAGGCAACGGACGAGGAGCCCGACTCATCAGGGGGGGAGAGCGATGACGAGGTTGAAGTGGTGGACCCCTCCGCGTGATAGCTTGTTGTTCTTTCTCTTCTTTTTGATTTGTGGATGTACACCCCGAAGCCATTGAGCTCGGGTCATAGTAAAATTCCTATATTGAACTTTTTCATTAATGAAATATACTATTTCTGAGTAACCTGAGTGCAAAATAATTCCAAGTGTGGGTGAGCCCCGAACTGGGCAATTTAATGTATAGGTTATCCGAATTGTCGAGCTACCGAGTAGGATAACCAGTAAGGATAACCAATAATAACATTTGCCCAAGTGTTTGTTACTCCAATCTGTGTGGGTTACCCCGAACTATCGAGTTACCGAGCTTGGTAATAAGTAAGGGTAACCAAAGTGGAATTTTTTCCAAGTGTTTGTCACCCCGAGCTGCCTGCTATGGTTGTTAGTAGGGGTAACATCACGCAATGTACTCCGTGCACTGGCTACTTGCTTAAATGTTGGTTTCTCCTTTTCAGGCCCGACTTGCCGAGGTCTTCGTTAGTTTGGTGTTTTTAGCCCTTAGGCTCTGGGAGCGACTTAAGGTCCACTCTCCTTGGGTTTGCCCATGCCGAAGAGGCGACTGGGTTTTAAGCAATATTGTAGCCTTTAGGCTTTGGGAGCGACTCATAGTCCACTCCTGTTGACTTTGCCCACGCCGAAGAGGCTATTGGGACTTGAGCAGTATTGTAGCCTTTAGGCTTTGGGAGCGACTCATAGTCCACTCCTGTACTTTGCCCACGCCGAAGAGGCAACTGGGTCTTGTGTAGTGCCGAGGTCTCTGCCTGTGAGGTGCTGGGCTGACTAGGTGCCGAGCTGCCTGTGAGGTGCCGGGCTGACCAGGTGCTGAGCTGCCTGTGAGGTGCAGGGCTGGCCAGGTGCCGAGTTGCCTGTGAGGTGTTGGGCTGACCAGGTGTCGAGCTGCCTGTGAGGTGCAGGGCTGGCCAGGTGTCGAGTTGCCTGTGAGGTGTTGGGCTGACCAGGTGCCGAGCTCAATTGATGAGCTTCGTTGCTCTTTAGAGACTTGCAAGGAACTAAATGTCAGAGGACCCGCCTAACCCGATGAGGTCACTCTGATGGCTAAGTTAGTATTCTCATAGTAGACTGCGAGCTAAAAATCACAGTCTAAGAGCTAGAACTTGCTTACTTGTTTCTGGGGTTGGTGCCTTTATAGTTCGCAATCAGAGGTAGTATCGCCTTAGATTGCTGATGTTCCATGCTCGAGGTACTTGCTTTTCTTCTAGGGTTTTGAGCTCATACGTACCTTCTCCGAGTATTTGCTTTACTCGGTAGGGACCTTCCCAGTTTGGTCCGAGCTTACCTACGTCGAGCTCAGGTACCATAACTTTCTGAAGGACTAGGTCCCCGACACGAAAGTGTCGCTTCCTGACCCGGGCGTTATAATACCGAGCCACTCTTTGCTGGTAGGCTGCGGTCCGGATATATGCGAGGTCCTGTACCTCTTCTACCAGGTCGAGGTTGGTGCGGAGCTCATCACCGTTTTCTTCGTCGTCTTAGGCTTCCAGGCGTAATGTAGGTACCTCGATCTCGACTGGGATTACCGCTTCCGTGCCATAGGTGAGGTTGAAGGGGGTTTCACCTGTGGCGGTCTTGACGGTGGTTCAGTAAGCCCATAGTACGCTGGGCAACTCGTCTACCCATAGCCCCTTAGCTCGGGCTAGGCGAGCTTTCAGCCTGCGGAGTATGGTTCTGTTCGTGACTTCTGTCTGCCCGTTTGCCTGGGGGTGTGCTACCGAAGTGAAGTTCTGCTGTATCCCCATCTCAGCACATCAGTTCTAGAACTTGATATCTTCGAACTACTTACCATTGTCAGAAATGAGCACGCGAGGCAGTCTGAAGCGGCATACTATGCTCTTCCGAAAGAAGTTCTGTACAGTTCGAGCTGTGATTGAAAAAGTACAAATAACATCACAATAAATAAATAAAAATTACAAGAGTTTTAGCTAGTAGTAGTATCCGAAGGTCTTGCACCTAGTCTTAGTGCAAAACTCAGGGAAAGGAAGATCTCCAATTTTAAAGTTAATGGTATGACCAATCAGTCCAGGGACAGAATTTGTAGGCCGAAAGTACAGTTGGGGTGGATGCCAACTCAGAATTGATGCCCAATTTATGGGTGGCATTGGTGTATAGAGTGGGGGTTTTTGACCTTTTAAATGTTTATAGCTCTGCAGTGAAAATCTGAAATCTGTATTGGGCCTATCCGTACTTCTCCGATTTATTTTTTGCCAATGATTGTTTTGTTTTTTCTAAGGCAAATTTTGATGAGGCAAAAGAGGTTTTGGATGTCCTTGATATGTTTGGTGGTGCTTCAGGACAGAAAGTTAACTTCAATAAGTCTAAGGTAATGTTCAATAAATACACTCATGAGAAATTTCAAAAAACTAGTGGCCAGAGCTCTTGGGATGCAACGAGTGCTCAATTCTTGTACCTACTTGGCTCTCCCCTCTGAAATCCAAAGATAAAAAAACCAGACTTTTAGTTTTGTCATTGAAAATGTAGCTAATAGAGTTGCAGGTTGGAAACATAATCTCTTGTCATCGGTAGGTAGAGAAGTACTGTTCAAGTCAGTTACTTCATCTCTTCCGGTTTACTCTATGTCCTGTTTGCTTTTGCCAAAGGAAACCCACAACACTATCACTAAGTTACAAAGAAATTTCTAGTGGGGACATACAGGTCAAGGCAGGAAGAGTCATTAGATCAAGTGGTCTCAAGTGTGTAAAAACAAAAGCAATGTGGGCCTTGGTTTCAAGGACCCCTGCTGTTTTAATAAAGCTCTCCTTGCTCGCCAAGCATGGAGGATCCTAAAGAACCCCAACTCTCTCCTTGCCAAAGTTTATAAGGCAAAATATCATGCTAATAGCTCTTTCTTATCTGCTCAAGGAAGAAAGGGTTGTTCTTGGGGCTGGAGTAGTGTTTGCATGGGTCGTGATATTGTTAAAAAAAAAAATGTTGCCTTTGGAGGGTGGGTAATAGCGAGCAAACTAAGATTTGGAATGATCCTTGGTCCCCATCAGCAAGGAATTTTGTGGTTAACATAGCTAAACTAGTTGGTTGCACACTAGACAATGTGAGTGAATTCAGAAACACAAATGGTAATGGCTGGAATGTGGGTCTAGTTTGAGCTTTGTTCCCCTCTGAGGTAGCTGAGAAAATTCTTAATATATTTTCCCTCATTGGATTGCCCTGATAGGATTAGCTAGACTCTAAGTAATAATGGTTCTTTTACTATTAAGTCAGCTTACTGGATCTTCAAAAACTTAAAGGTAGAGCTTGAAGTTCAAAATGGGAATGTTGTTTCTCTTGAGCCTAAGGTTTGGAAACAATTATGGGGCTCAAAAGTGCTTCCTAAAATTAAAACTTTTATTCAGAAGGCCATGCATGGAGGTATCCAAGTAAAAGTGGAAGTTGCTAAAAGTATGATAGGGATTGATCCCACTTGTCCACTGTGTAAGTCCAGCCCGAAAACTATTGATCATGCACTACTATACTGTGATTCCGTTCATCCAACATGATTTGCTTCACCTCTTGGGTTACCTTTTGATTCTTGCTCTACCATCTCAATTAAGGACCAGATTATGAGTTGGATTCAAAATTCAGCAATGTACAAGCATGATCTCAAACTCATTTGTGATAACTTCTTTATTTTGTCTTGGGTGTTTGGCTCAGGAGAAATGCTTGTGTCTTTGAAGGAAAGATAAATAACCCTGCTCATACTCTGACCTTTGCAAATAGGCTGATGCAGGAAGTCTCTCATACCAGCCATCTGCACAAGGGTTGGGTGATTTGGATGAGCCCCAATAGGTAGTCAAGTTCTACTTCTGTAGTTGTTGGTGGTAATTTTGCTCATGTGTGGACTGACAGTAGATGGGTTGTTGATTCTTATGCGGGTTGTGGCTTTTTTATTCTATCGCCTAATGGATCTTTTGTTGCAGCTAACTCTTACTTCAATTGTGCCTCGCTCTGCTATGTTTTCTAAAGCTTTTGCTATTCTTACTGCAGTTAAAACAACCGGAGAAATGGCTTTTGTTCTCTTCTTCAAAGGGAAACTTTCTTCCTTATCTAGTGAAGTTTGGATGCTAGCTAATGAAATGGCTGTTTTTTTAAACGTTTTTGATTCARTCATCTAGGAGCATATTCCTAGCTCATAGAAATCAGTGGCTCATTTTTTGGCTAGTAGGTCTTGTTTGAAAGGTGCCTGGGTTGCTTTTGCACTGNGAGCATATTCCTAGCTCATAGAAATCAGTGGCTCATTTTTTGGCTAGTAGGTCTTGTTTGAAAGGTGCCTGGGTTGCTTTTGCACTGGCTTGGTTATCCTCTCTGTTGAATTAAGCCAATTTGTTGGCTCCCGTTGTACCTTCAGATGTTTTAATGGAATGATTCTACGTTTTACCAAAAAAAAAAGAGTTTTAGCTTGTATGCCAGGTATATCAATAGCATATGATATATGGGTAGTTAGTTTAGAAACGGGATTCAGTCATCACAAGGCCCATTCGAACAACTTTATAGCCTTGTATCAGGAATATCATCTCCCCATGAATTAAAACACGTAAGTATAGAGATATTCCCAATGTAAGGTTGTAAAGGCTGTTTGAACGGGTTTCACATTGATTAAAGCCGATATCATTAGTTCAGTTTAAACTTGGTTTATAAATAGACATGTTCATGGGTCGGGTAGCCCGATGGCCCGACCTGCACCCCGATTGGGCTTGGACAAGTAGTTAGGCTCGCGGGCTTGACCTCGGGCCCAAAACACCAAGCCCGATTGTGTTTCAGGCTGGGTTCGGGATTTGTCAAAAAAGTTCAGCCCAAACTCTAAACTCAGAGAGAGAGAGAGAGAGAGAAAGAGAGAAATTATAAAGACCTGTTCATGGGTCGGGTAGCCCGATGGCCCGACCTGCACTCCGATTGGGCTTGGACAAGTAGTTAGGCTCGCGGGCCTGACCTTGGGCCCAAAACACCAAGCCCGATTGTGTTTCAGGCTGGGCTCGGGATTTGTCAAAAAAGCTCAGCCCAATTGATTTATATAATATTTATTATAATATATATATTAATAATTTAATATATACATTTTTTATTTTTTCTTTATAATTTCTCTCTTTCTCTCTCTCTCTGAGTTTAGAGTTTGGGCTTGGGCCCAGGCCCGGGCCTGGCCCAACCCATGAACAGGTCTATTTATAACGTCAACACCTATAACCGAACCGATAAGTTAGGTTCTACGATCAATAAAACCAAAGCCAACCCAATTGATTTGTGAACTGACCAAATTGGGTCGAGTCAGGCAAGTTTGGTTGGTTTGATCCATTTTTACCATTTTTCTAAACGGTCCCAGTAATACGGTCCAAGAATACCAACCACTAAGGAAACAAAAACTAAGAAACTAAATTCCTCTACTCACCCCTAGTTGAGCAAGAAACTGAATGGTTACCATCTAGTGATGTTGCTTTTTGCAATGAAGTTATAAATGATGAATTGGATTTGATAATGTTTAATAACACATGGGTATTAATAGATTTGCTTCTGAGRTCAAAATTAATTAAGTGTAAATGGGTATTTAGAAAGAAATACAACATTGATGGAACATTACAAACATTTAAGGCTACATTGCTAGCCAAAGGGTTCAGTAAAAGAAAAGGTATCGATTACTTTGGCATTTATACACTGCTAGCTAAAATAACTTCTATTATAACATTCATAGCACTTGCATACATTTGTCATTTATTTATTCATCAAATGGATGTTAAAACAATTTTCTTAAATGGTGCTTTAAATGAAGAAGTTTATATGGAGCAACTGGAGGGATTTGTCCTTCCTAGAGATGAGAAGGATGTTTGTAAATTGGTGAAATCAATGTATGGTTTGAAACAAGTACCTAAGCAATGGCATGGGAATGTTGATTTTAGCAGTTTAGTTTTTGGGTTTAAGCATAATAGTACTGATAGATGCATTTATTTACAATTTATTGAAAATTATGATGTGATTGTATGTCTTTATGTTGATGACATACTTATTGTTGGTACTAACATAATTGACATTACTAAAACTAAAAATTATTTTTCCTCTATTTTTAAGATGAAAGATCCATGAGAAGTTATCTTGGGAGTCAAACTTAAAAAACTTAGTGTGGGTTATTCATTAAGCCAATCACATTAGAAAAGATACCTAAGAAATTAAAGCATATAGGAAGACTAATGTATTCTATGCTTTGTACTAGATTTGATATCACATATGCTATGTATAAATTTAGTAGGTTTACAAGTAATCCTAGTGTAGAGCATTGGAAAGTAATTAGGAGAGTCGTAAAATACCTTAAAAGGACCTTGGGACTTTGGCTTATTTTACTATGATTATCTAATTATACTCAAAAGATACATTAATGCAAATTAGATTACCGGTAATGGAGATAACAAGTCCACATTTGGATGAATCTTTATTCTTGTTGGATTACAATTTCTTGGGCATCCAAGAGACAAACTTGTATATCTCAATCAATCATGGAATTCGAATTCATAGCCTCCGCAATTACTAGAAAGAAAGTTGAAGGGATTAGAGACTTATTATCAAATATAAAATTGTGGCTTAGTCTTGTGCCTCTAATTTTCATTTTCTATGATAGTGAAGCAACTTTATCAAGAGCTTATAGTAGCACTTACAATAGCAAGTCTAGACACACAAGTCTGAGACATGAATATGTTAGGTAGTTAATTCAGAATAACGTATCACTATAACATATGTTAAGTTGAGTAAAAAATTGGTTGATCCTCTTACCAATGAATTGCTTAGATAATTGGTAAAAATAGCAACTAAAGATATGACGTTAAAACCCTTTACTTAGTCACTAGTAATGGTAATTCAACCTGAACCAAAAGGCAACAATATTAAGTTTAATGGATAACAAGTTACTATGATATGATTATTACACTAACATTAAGAGATTTCCCATCACAAATAAATACAAATAGTGTATGAGAATTTGAGTAACATTGAAGTGTTGTTTCTTATGAGAATTTGAGTTTTACTCTCGAGATCATTCATGAAAACCACGAAAGCAACGCATGGCCGTAACAGTGTTGAGTAAATTTGAAACTCTTGAACAGACATGACATTATTATGCGTATAAATATTTCTAACTTGTCTAAAGAGTAATTGATTTAAGGTTCTACCACCAATAACTTTGACAAGATTTTGAAACTTGTACTAATTGAGGGTTTAAATTACAAAACACCTTATGTGCATAACTATGTCATAGTACTTTATATTGAGAGAGACAAAGTGGGGGGTTATTGGATTGGAAATTAAATCCAATTGGAAAATGGTTTTAAAGTTCCCACTAAAACTTTTGTTTTGTCTTGTTTTTTCTCTTTTTTAAGTCTTGTCCCACATTGGAAATTACAAAACTTACTTTAGGATTTTAGGTAGGAGCTTATGGCCAAATAGATGTACCATCTAATGAAGATGGAAAACATGTCCCACAGGCCCAAGATGCTTGGACAAGCTATTCTTCTAGTGAAATCTAAAAATTGAATGAATCACATGCAAAATAGTCCATCAAAAGTTTGTGATGAGAATGATTGACAAACTAGGGTGAGTGGTATGCCAACTTCAATGAGGAAGTGTAAGAATAAGAAGATTTTTCTGAAATTATGTGTGCAGTACAAGCTTTGTTAGAATTGATCAAATCTAAGATAAGACTTTACGAGATGAAAATTCAGAAAAAAAAAAATTGAGGCTAGACTAGAAAAAGAGTTAACAACACCAAAGGCAAAACTTTTCTATTACAAAGTGCATGGAAGTTGTGAATGAGTTTCGATTTATTAGTGATATTGATGTTGGAAAGGTGCTAAAGGCAGGCAAGTTATTTCAAAAAGAAGAATGTAGGGAGATATGTTCATGGCATTAACTCTTGATTTGCAAATAACATGGCTACAAAGGCTTTAGAAAATAGCTAAAATAGGGGAAAAGGTTTAAAGATTAATTATAGACATTAGAAATTAAACATCATTTACTAAGAACATATTGTGTTTATTTTTTGAAACTTTGTTAACAAAGCTCTTGTTTGATGGTTTTTCCATGCTTGGTAGAACTCTTGTTTGAACTCTTTGTACTAAATAATAATAATTCACTATCCTTAGTATATGCTACTTGATGTTCGTATGAATTTATTGGCATTAGTTATTTTATAATTGCATCATTGCATTGATTCAGTTCAATATTCCATCACCAATTCTAATTTGTAGATACACATTTGAACATAGATTTTTTGGTATAGCATAGTAACTTGGATCATTCAAGAAAGAGAAGGATAATTCCATTGGAATCATTAGACGATCAAGAATATGAGTTATTAGAACTTATTTGTTTATCAGAAATTATGAAGTATCATAATACCTAAGACAACCGTATTGTACTTCATCGATGAGTGGGCATGCATATATCAAGTACCAATTAAAGGATTTAGAGCATCCTGATACAATTTATGATATACTTAGAATGGAACAACATGTGCTTAAAAATTTTGCAAATCTTTTGAGACAACATGGCCTTTTGGAAAACAATCGATACATCATAGTCGAGGAGTGATTGCAGTTTTTTCATTAACAATTGGTGATAATGAGAAGAATCGTCTAATTGCTGCTCAATTCCAACATTCTAAAAACACCAGTGTTCATTTTAGAAGAACATGCAAAGTAATATGTAGGCTTGGCAAGGAATTAATACATTTGCCCTCATCCAATAATGTGCATCCCTATGTAAGACATTCGGAGAAATATTGCCCATAGTTTTAGTTATTGAATTAAATTATATTTATGTTAAATCTTATATATACACCATGGTGGGGTGGGGTGGTCTACACTTTTCTCAACCATACTACTGAACAATCCCGTGGTTATCTTGTAACTCTAACTGCATTTCTATCTCTTTACATATAAATACAAACCCATCAATGATGATGGGTTGGCCCACTCAAAAGATAAAACCATATAATACACTCATGGCCAAGAGCCAAGGGGCTTGAGATTTGAAATGTCAAAATGCATGGATCAATTGAAGAAAATGCGGAAATCAAAGTCTTAAGCGTAAAAAAAAAAAAAAAAGGAAGAAAGGGAAGGATAAAAAGAGAGGAAGACAGAAGGGCATGGAGGAAATAAAAAGAGTGACTAACAGGACCTCAGCTAATACTTGCATGAAAATGCAGATTAGCTGATGGAAA